AAGAAATGGTCCTAGGACAACTGGCTGGCCATAAAGGAAACAAAATCACTAGGTTCCCATACATGCCTTGGGACAAAACAAATTCCATATAGGTCCAGATTTTAATGTAAAAACAAATCAGATATGTATTAAGGGAAAACATGGGTGATTTAAAAAATAATCTTGGCATGAGGCCTTTCTGAGCTTGACTTGATATGACAATGACATTAAAGGGAAGCCTGCTAAACCTGACTAGTGGCATTTTAAATATTTGAGTGGCTTAAAAAAAATCCATTCAAGAAAAATCCATAAAGTCAAAAGACATAGAACAACGTGAGGGCAATATCTGTAAAACATGTGGTAATAGATTATTATCTAAATACACAAAGAACACATAAAATCAATAAGAAAGGACAAATAACTTCATAGAAAAATGGACAAAGTATATTCATAAGAAATTCACAGTAAAAGAAATACACATGGCTAATACACATACGAAAACATGGTCAATTTCGCTCATAAAGAATTTGTGGCTGGGTGTGGTGGCTCACACCTGTAATCGCAACAATTTGAGAGGCCAAAGCAGGTGGATCACTTGAGGTCAGAAGTTTGAGACCAGCCTGGCCAACATGGCAAAACCCCATCTCTACTAAAAATAAAAAAGTTAGCCGGATGTGGTGGCACACACCTATAGTCCTAGCTACTAGGGAGGCTGAGGCCACGAGAATTGCTTGAGCCCAGGAGGCAGAGGTTGCAGTGAGCCGAGCTAGCACCACTGTACTCCAGCCTAGGTGACAACATAAGACTCTGTCTCAAAAAAAAAAATTTTTGTAAAAATAAATTAAAATGAGACTCCCTTTCTGTCTCAGTCAAGAGACAAAGGCTGAAAGAATGCTATTACCCGTCTTAGTGCAAGAGCTACCAAATAGTCAAATGCTTGTTTTTTGCTTGTTTTGAGATGAAATTTCGCTCTTGTTGCCCAGGCTGGAAAGCAATGGTGCAATCTCAGCTCACTACAACCTCCACCTCCTGGGTTCAAGTGATTCTCCTGCCTCCCCTTCCAAGTAGCTTGGATTACAGGTGCCCCGCCTCCCAACGCCCAGTGAATTTTTTTGTGTTTTTAGTAAAGATGGAGTTTCACCATGCTGGTCAGCCAGGTCTCAAAATTCTGACTCAGGTGATCCACCCGCGTCAGCCTCCCAAAGTGCTGGGATTACAGGCGTGAGTCACCACACCTGGCTTGTCTAACTTTTAAGAATGCACCCTATAGATATATTTCCAAACATGAACAGGAATGCATGTTAGACATACTCTACAGTACGGTTTCTTTTTTCTTTTTGAGACAGGGTCTCACTCTGTCACCCAGGCTGGAGTGTAGTGGTATGACCATGGCTCACTGCAGCCTCAACCTTCTGGGCTCAGGCAATACTCCCACCTCAAACTCCTGGGTAGCTGGGTCTTCAGGTGTGCACCACTACTCCTGGCTCATTTTTTTGTTGCTACTGTTGTTGTATTTTTTTGTTGTTTCTGGGGTTTTTTTTTGTTTTTTTTTTTTTTGTGGAAAGATGGTCTCGCCATGTTGCCCAGGCTGGTCTTGAACTCCTGGTCTCAAGAACTCCACCTGCCTCAGCCTCCCAAAGTGCTGGGATTACAGACATAAGCCACCACACCCAGCCTGCCATATGGTTTTTAATGGCAACTGGAAATGTTAGGTAAGCAGAAGTTGCACCATTTTAAGCTCAGCTCCATCTTAAAACTAGCAAAGCACATTCCTTGCCAGTCACAACCCATAGACATGAGATATTTAGAGTTAAGAAAACAGCCTAAAGATATGTACAAGGACACTCTCCTACAACAGCAGAAAGTCCAGTGTCCCAATACCCACAACATCTGCTTTCAAGATAACTACAGTTATGCTTTGATGTCCTCACACAATAACACGTCAAGGAGAGTTTTCTTTAAATCGATGCTGTTATTAATCTTCATGCTGTCTGCTCACCTGCACATAGACACAGCTTAGCTTCATCTTTACATAGACAACACCCTATATAAGAAAAACTTAAAGACGGGGCATTCCTCTGTGTGCTTTCTGAGGACACCCTGCTCTAACAGAGTCATTTCTAATAAACTTGCTTCTTCTACTGTATTCTGTGACATGCCTTGAATTCCTTCCTGAATGATTTCTGGAAACTTTCTCTTGGGGTCTGGATTGAGACCCCTTTTCTGGCAACAGAATGAGCCCAAATGCCCAATAATAGGGACTTACTGAGGGTTTCAATAGTTGTACGTTGTTCTGTTTTAAACAATAAAACAAATGCCACCATTAAAAAGAATAACGGGCTTCCAGTTAAAAGGGCAGATTAAATCTATAGGTTTTTCTTCACTCCCACCTCAATGTCCATTTAAATGCTAGCAAAGGAATAAAAGAAAATTCTAAACACACAGCCCACCTTCCTCCTGTCCCCATATCTTCCTAAGGACAGAATGGCAAAGAAGGGACAGTACAAGGAAGAAGCAAGCAGAGGACACCACAGAGAATGTTGGAACCTTCCACCTGCACATGGTGAGGCCAGCAAGAGGCAAGAGCCATTCTGCTTCACATACAGGAAGGAACTGAAGGTTCAGGAGCTGTGAAAGTGGGGCTGGGAGCAGAGGCTGTCAACACGAAAGCAGGCTGAGAGGCTGTGTTAAGAGCAGTGGTGCACTCCAGCCTTCACCCTGACAGGAGACAGTTTCTCTAGAGAAATTAACTCGAATGGTCAGGGACCCCAGGCAGCATGGCAACCAGGGGCAACGCGAGAGGCTGAAGCTGGACCTGAAAGTCTTCTTAGGAAAATGGTGCGAGGGTGTTATTCCAATAACAACCACCTCACCAGAAAAAACCAAAACACTCAGGGTATACACAAAAGGCTCTTTAAATTTAAGATACGACAGCATCAATTTTAAAAAGTCAATAGGCAATTTAAAAGATGAAGAGGAATACATCAATGGAAAAGCAGAAAGGCAAGAAATTAGAAGAATAAAAGTAGGGAGTCTAACATTCAGCCAACTGGAGTAAAGAGCAGAGAAAACAGGAGGATTTCATTAAAGTCATAATACAAAGAGTCTCCCTGGAATTGAAACGTGGGGTTCCCCAAGTGAAAGGACTGATTAAGCAAGTTTTCAGCCCGGTGGAGGAAAACAGACCCCAGTGCGAATCATCCTCGTGACTTTTATAAAACCTAGAGAAGTAAAGGTCCCTCAGGATCTTACTTTGGGGTGGAATGAGAGTAACACTGGCCTCCCCCACAGCAACCCTGGATGCTAGAAGACAATTGAACAGTGTCCTCAACAATCCCAAGGAAAATGATTTCCAACCAAGAATTATACACGCAGAGAAAGTCAAACAAGCGCAGGATGAGGGTAAAATATTTGCAAATATGCAGGACCTCAGAGACCTTCACCTGCCATGCACACATTCTCAGGAAGCTGTGGAAGGCTGTGCTCTATCACAATGAGGAAGTCAGTCAAGGGCAAGGAATACGGGAAACAGAAGAGAGGCACAGAAGATGCTGGGATGAGGGGGAAAGAAAGTCTAGACCACAGACCCAGGACGGAAGTCCACAAAGGAGCAAATACACAGAAAGGTCGGGTTTGCCAACACTTGCCTGCACTTAGAGGACTTTTCATCTTTTTCAGAAACTTTGGCAGATATATTCATAAACCCTATATAAAACGTTAAGAAAATGAAAAGACAAGGCAATGACTAACTCCAGGAAAATTAAATTTGCAAAAAGAAAGGAAATTCATCACAGTACTGTACATAGCTCAGTCAGCTTCGAACAATATTCACACAGTCACAATAATGTCAGTGCAGAATGCCAGTCTAACAAAAAGCTATAATGCAATTATTTGGGGAAGACAGAAGGTGAGAAAGTGTGTGAGCTGGTTGTTTGGTATTTTCATATGGCACCGCAACAGCATTAAATAATCCCCATCTACTGTGTTGGGAAGCTGGTGGACAATGTTAGAAATTGGAAAACTTTTAAAATGGGGGTATAATTAGCCAGGTATGTGGCACATGCCTGTAATCCGAGCTACTCAGGAGGCTGAGGCAAGAGAATCACTTGAACCCAGGAGGCGGAGGTTGCAGTGAGCCAAGATTGTGCCACTGCACTCCAGCCTGAGTGACAGAGTGAGGCTCTGTTTGAAAAAAAAAAATGCAGGGGGTATACACATGTTATTTAGAGACATAAAGGTATTAGCAGAAGAAAGAACCAGAAGAGTTGAAGATGATAGAATCTGAAGGGCTTTGGATATCAGAAGGCATGGGAAAAAGACAGTTGATTTTCCTTATAATTCTTTTATCTTTGACTTACAATTATGTACATGTGTAACTTTGATAAAATATAAAATTTAATTTTAAAAAGTAAATCTACATGTTCTGACATGGAAACACAGCCACAAAATTGCATAAAGGAAAAACAAGAGGTCACACAGTGATTTAAATGCCAAAATTCCACTTGGTTGGATTTTTAGGCATTTTATATATACAATAGGGTAGTAAATACAGAACCATCTAGAAAAAGACATAGAACTGTTAACAATTAATATCACAGGGGATGGGATGGTGGGGGAAGATGAGCATGAAATTTAAAAATGTTGTACTTCCTAAATCAGCATATTTTCATTTATTATAAGCATGTATTACTTCTTTTTAAGAATTCATGCTTTTAACAATTACTTTGTTGTTAGTCTCTTTCATGTAAATTTTATGACTATCCAATTAGTCCACTTCAGAAGCAGGGGAAGATACTGACTGTACTTTTCCTCTCATTTCTGCCCAGATCTCATGTGTCTGAGTTCTGCACCCATCAAAGATGATGGATAAACCAGAGAACAGACACCAAGGCTGCCCTAAGCAATGACCCCATTAAGAGTTAAACAGAAGCAATCACTTGATCATCCCCATAAGGGCAACTCAGCAGGAATGCCCTGGGGACAAACACTCTTGAATCAGAAGAGCCCACCCTAGTCCTTACCCAGCTGCCACTTTCGGGAACACATGGTCTCCATCATCCAGATGGGCAGGGCTGGCTCCAGCATGGCGATGCCCATGTTTGCAAAGCAGATGGAGCCTGTAAGGGAGGAAAGGGCTTAGTGGCTTCTGCCTCCTCTGTCATTTCTGGGCACAGCTAGACTCCATGCATCTGCAGCTCAGATAACCGGAACTTCTACTTCCATTAAGTAAAGGATAAATAGCATATCAAGGGGACAGCAAAGGCTGTTCATCATCATCATCATCATCATCATCATCCTTGTCGTCATCCTTATTTTAAACAACTAGAATCCCAGAGACAAATTTGGACTGGAGGCAGCCCTATAGATCCTTTGGTTTAACCTACCCAATTATGATTTTATCGATGAAGAAAGGAAGTCCAATTTATTAATGAAGTAGCTTTCTTGGGGCCATGCAACAGCCAGGCCACTTCCGGACCATACACGGTCTCGGGGCAACCTAAGGATCTCGAATCTATGTGTTACTGTGCAATAAACATGGGCATTTCTAATGATACCCTGAAATGCCAGAAAATTCAAGCAGGATCACAGTGCATTCAGTACAGGCATGCCGTCGGGGGATGTTTTAAACATCAGCTGTGCATATCGGGCATCTATGCAAATATCCATGATCACTCTGTTAACCAGAACGCTTTGTAAATATAAAACTATCTGGAAAAAGACCCATGGGACCGTTCTCCATCATTCTCCATCATCACAACACAGGGAACTTCCTGTGTTGTGCCTCTTGAAACCTCTAATTTGCTACAACAAATTCAAAGAATATCGTGTAACAGTGATGAAAGTGCACACATAAGGAAGAAAGATCTGTTCATTCGACGTGACATTTAAAGGCAGAGCATATTGATGGCAGGACTCCCCTCACCCACTTGGCTCCCAACTCCCTTCCGCAGTCAAGGCTGCCTGGAAGTGTGGATGACAGTCTGGAAGTGCTGGGTAGCATCTTTGTGTCTCCTGTGAGCAGAGACTAGACAGTGAGTTTCCAGGAAAGCCCAAGACAGGACAGGCCCAGGCTGCACAGCCCTGTCCAGACATGCCCAAGGCTCAGGGAGTCACATTTCTAGAGCTTCCATCCCTCATAATACCTCCTTGTCCCCACCTCAGATGCCAGGGTTCCAGAGGCATCTCAGCTCTGGGACACTCATTACATCTTGCAGAGTTCCCACTGCATGAAGAAGTCACCATGCCAGCTCCACCTCTTTGGCCAACAAGCATGATAGACAGGGTCTTGGCCAGGGTTATGTACCTGCTAACCTAACCAAATCCAGCAGCAGAAGGGTTAAACAAAACCAACCTGGGGGTTGACAAAGGCTGAACCTAACTACTGGTGCCCCGTTAACCCAGGCACGCTCCAGCCTACCTCTAGGCTCCAGTTAGGTAGCTCTGCCTAGACACATCTAACCCTAACTGGATCCAATGCTACAGTGCAGGCTGCCCCAGAGACCAGCACACCAGCACACAGCCAGACCTTCCCCTGGCCTCACCCCAAGGGCCTGTTTACCTCAGTCCTCAGGCCTAGCAGCACCTACACAAGGCTGGTGCCTGGTTAGGCAGCCCAGGACCTGGCAGGGCAGGCAAACTTCTGCCACTGGGACAATCTTGGGGGACAGTCCCTTGGATAGATGCAGACCATTATCCTTCCCAAGAGCCACAAAACCCCAGCACTTTCTTTTAACCCCTCTAGGCCAAGAACCCAAAAGCATGCCTTTTAGCCAAGGGGTGTTTGAGTGGCCTCCCTGCTTCTCAGCAGGGATGCTCTCTGTAAGAAGGGAGCCCCTGTGGGGCTCTGCTGTCACTTTCTATTCATACATGCCAAGGTGAGTCAGACTGCCCCACCTGAGACCCTTGCCATTAGACCAAGGACTCCTTCTGGAAAAGTTCAGGGCCAAACAACGTCGGCCTTCGAGGCAAACACAGTGAGCAAGCTTGACTCCAAACAACCCTCCCTGGGGCCCAGGCAGCTCTGCAGAGCCCAGCATGCGCCAAATGAGAAACAAAAGGGGCCTTGGCTGAGTGTCAGAGAGCAAGGGTGGAAGAAAACCATTTCCTTGGACTTGTAGCCTCTTTGCTGTTAGAAAACGCAATCAGCCCTGGCCATCCACCCCCGCCTCCAGCCTGCGGCCATCACCTCGCATTCGCCTGACGGAGAAGACCCCCGGAGCCCCACCTGCAGCAATGAGGATGTACGGGTCCTTCAGCAGCGTGGTTAGGGGTGTCCCCTTCTGACTCTGTCAAGAAAAACACGGGTCAGAAGCATCCCCACGCCCCCTCCCCTGGGGCCCTCATTCCCTGCTGCTTACCTCTGGCTGCACCCGGGACGGCTGGAGCACAAAGAGCTGGATAGCTAAAAAATAAAAAAAAAATTTAAAAAAACAGGCCCTTCTTCAGAAAGCAGGTGTGGCCCAAGCACATACTGGCACGGATGCCAAGGTCATGGCAAGGCGCCCATGTGGACTCACCTCCATCCAAGAGCACCAAGGCAGCCAGCACCAGGAATGGAGCAGTCTTCCCCACAAACTCGTAGAGCACACTCCCAAAGGGGGGGCCCACTGCAGGGAGAGAAAGAGGGGGCGCCACCCCTGGGACACATGCCCTTTCCCCATACTAGAACCATCCATTTGACTCTTGTGTTTCTGTCTCTACTTTGTTCCAATAAAGATTTGGGGTAGCTGCCCTATTGTTCTATTCAGTTAAGAGTTCAGTTGCCTTGGCAACTTCCTCCAAGTGGCTTTTCACCTAAGAAATGGGCAAGAGTCTACAAAGGTCACCCTGAAAGCAAAGGCCCAAGAGAAACAAGATCCAGATTCGGGGCGGTGCAGCTTCTGCCGCACAGGAAAATGTGTAAACAGGGACCTCGCTCCTTGTACACCAGCATGGGCAAGGCTGCAGGCTCCCAGAAGCAGGCTGGGAATGCGAGAGAGGAAGGGAAAGGGTCTGAATCCCTCTCAGGGAAGATGTTTGTCCCCTGGTCTGGGAAGTAAGCCAGGGCAGGTGGGGGAGGCAGACACAGAAGGCAAGTTTCCCCCACCACAGCTCGCTGAATGTTCCCAAGGAAAGGGTCGGGCAAACCATCCTGTTCAACCTTTGGTTTTCCACCTGGGCCCAGGGAGGTTTGCAGCAGAGGCAGGGGAGGTCCTGATCCCTTCCACCCCCAGCTCAGAGCTCTTTCTACCATTTTTCAGTCTCCATGAAAGCAGGAAAGGAAGAAATAAAAAGGGGATTTCTCAATCAGTGCAAACTTCCCAGGGTCACTGGGCGAGGATTGCCGCTGTCCAGCACCAGGCATTTCTCTCCCGCCAGTTCACCCACACAGAGGCCTTACCTACCTAAGACCCCCATGGCCAGGCCTCCCAAGGCGATTCCCATGACGTTGCCCCTCTCTTCATCATCTGTGTAGACACTGGCAAGCATGCCCATCCCTGCACAGGGAAAGAAATCGTCAACAGGCCAGCTTCGGGGAACAGCAAAATAATGCATGACTCGCTTTCCCTCTCCAGCCAGCCTTGTGATTGTCCCAAACCTGTCAGGTTAACTAAAATGTAAGTCCAAGCAGAACCCACAAGGAAAGCAGGCACCTTCTCCAGGAATCCCCAGCACCCCAACCACCACCAATACCTGGATTCCCTGAATGAGTCCAGCTCACTCTGCAAGGGGCCCCTTGACAAACTCACTCAGGCATTCCACACCTACCGGCCACAGAGGAGCAGGATGAGCCGATCCCCTGCAGCGACCTGGCGACCAGCAGGAGGGCATAGCTGCTGGAGAAGGCAAACACTGCAGAGAGAGGGGTCCAAGACTGCATATCAGCGCTGCTGGGAAGCAACCATCCCAAACAGGGACATTTCGGAAGCCCTCCCTCAACCTGACAGAGAATTTCCGTGTCAGCCACCTTGTGCTTTTGTGCCATGAAAACCTCTATCAATTCCTGTCTGCAATTGTTGCCAATACATAAACCTCCCAGGTTGGATTCCTTTTTTGTGAGACAGAGTCTTGCTCTGTCGCCTAGGCTGGAGTGCAGTGGTATAATCTCGGCTCACTGCAACCTCTGTCTTTGGGTTCAAGTGATTCTCATTCCTCTGCCGCCCCAGTAGCTGGGACTACAGGTGCCTGCCACCACACCTCGCTAACTTTTGTATTTTTAGTAGAGATGGGTTTCACCGTGTTGGTGGGCTAATCTCAAACTCCTGACCTCAAGTGATCTGCCCAATTTGACCTCCCAAGTTGCTAGGATTACAGGCGTGAGCCATTGTGCTTGGCCCCCAGGTTGTATTCTTAATTCCCAGCTCATGGGCATCCATGCCCACCCTGATGAGACCCACACTGAGAAGGCAGGCATCAGATACTTACTAATTGTTGAGACAAACATGATGCAGAATCCCGCAAATATGGGAATTGGATAGCCAATTCTGTAAAACACAAACATGAGACAAATCTGGTGACTGCAGGCTATTTTTTTAAGGCTTTAAGTCGATTTTCTCCTGGCTACCCTTTGGGATCAGACAGATAAGCATTTGGTGGACTTTTCTGAGAATTCATATACTTGGTGCTTCCTATGTGACCTTTTTGTGTTTGACTGTCTTGGAACGTGAATACATTTAAGGACTGCCACTGTGAACAGAAATTTCTCTGGAATAAATGTTAGCACAATATTGGCAAGTAACCCAGAACACATCTAAAATACACAGCCCCTGTTTCCATCCTTGTTTAAAAATGATTCCTTTAAATTATAGTCTTTGCTAGAGCTCTCCCAAAGGAGCCACTGCAATCAAATGATTCGGGTAAAAGACCATCAGGTGATTCAACTGGCAGACTGCACTATGTCTAAGAGGCATTAGGAAGCAAGATGTTAAGATCTGCCTTCCTGTTGACCCCATGAGGCCAACCTAGAAAGACAAAGTCTCATTTTCTGTGTAAAATCTCAAAATCCAAATTGCTCCATGAGACCACTGCTCACCTAGGGCTCTGATGCCAGGTCACCAGGGCTGGGGAAAAGACCCTGGCATTCCCCCACACCATGTCTGGCTGGACACGTGGCCCTGCCACTTAATCCAGGGAGGTCTCCTCTCAGCCCTATGGAGAGACCACCACCCACCTCCCAGGACTGCAGTAAGGGAAGAGATGTGGATGTTGAACTGTTAACCAGAGTGCCTACAGCATAGAAGGTGCCTAAGAAATGTCATCTTCCCCTTCATTCTCTTTCTTCTTTATTCTCTGTTTCTGCTGGATCAAGCAGACAGCTGGGTCCCGGCTCTGTGGGTGGGGCGTGAGGATACAGGCAGCTTCCCAGCCCCTCTGCCTTAAGACGAAGCCAACACTGGCTGAGCTCTTGCCCAGTTCCAGGTTTGCTCTAACCCAGAAGAGCCTGAAACATCTTTAAGTCTCTTCTTTCTCTAGCTCTGGACCCTCAGGAGCCCAGAGGGTAATCAAATGAATCCAGGAAGGCAGAAGGGCCAAGCTCCAGGAACAACCTGGAAGGGTTCTTCTCTTCCAGGATTTAATCAAAAAATTGTAATCAGCCAGGCATAATGGCTCATGCCTGTAATCCTAGCACTTTGGGAAGCCAGATCACCTGAGCTCAGGAGTTCGAGACTAGCCCGGGCAACATGGCAAAACCCTGTCTCCACTGAAAAGAAACAACTACCAAAAAAAAAAAAAAAAATGAGCTGGGTGGGCTGGTGCACACCTATAATCCCAACTACCTGGGAAGCTGAGGCACGAGAATTGCTTTAACCTGGGAGGTGGAAGTAGCAGTGAGCTGAGATTGAGCCACTGCATTCTAGCCTGGGTCAGTCTCAAAAAAAAAAAAAATATCATAATCATAGCGTTTTCATTTAAAGTTTACACTCAGTTCTCCAAGCATTTACACTCACCAGCTCATGATTTGACAAGGGCTCTATTTCACCTCCCTATGTTACAGATGAGGAAACTGGGGCATAATAGCTATTCATTACTTGTCATATGTCATCAGACTAATTTCGCTTGGGTCATTCCCTCCAGCCTAGGACTTTTCCTTGTAAATTTTACCACCTCCTCCCGTACCCAAACAACATATGAAGCTTTAAATGAATCTTTCCCAAAGTTCTCTTGACCATACTCATATATATTTTTTAACTGCTTCACCTGTATCCAGAAACCAAATACCAAAAATACAAAGAGTAATTCACAAGCTTGACAGATTCCCAGGCACTCAGTCCCCTCCCACAAACCATGCACAACTTCCCCTTACTGTGAACTGAAGTGAGCTTGTAATTCACAAAGTGGGGCTCCAAGCAAATGGGTAAACCAAGGAAGATACCAGGATTCTGACCTGCAGTTCAGAGGGCCATCAGGTGGTAGCTTCTCTTGTCTCAGCCTGCCCAGAGCCCTGTGCCCCTTATTCATGTGGACAAGAGAAACCCAACGCCAGGGGCTCACACGGCACTGCAGGACACTGAATCAGGAAATATCCAGGAGGCTGAGAGAGAACTCCCAGGAAATTTATTTTCAGCAACTACAGTTTGTCCCATGAAAGAACAGGCATATGGCAATCTTCCTGGTTGTCCTGGAATAAACACAGGCTTTTCTCTCCATTCAGCATATATTTGGAAAATATAGTAGTTGAATTATCAATACACATCAAAACTGTTGGAACTATGGGCTTCATGCTTCTGTCACCAGTTCTTCATTTTGGCTATTTACCAGGCTCTAAAATGGAAGCCTTTGGGTTGCAGGGACATCCCTGAAGCCAAATAAGACATCTGTGGCCCCTTCCCAGACTACAGGCAGAAGCAGCGGCTGGTTTCAGGACAAAACTCAATAAAATGTGACAACCCGTTTGTGGCCCCCAGACCATCAGCCATACTGTGCCCACTGTACAGTCCGGGCAGTAATCAAGGTAACCCATCAGGGCACAGCGGTGGGGAGGTGGGGCTGGAAGCCACTGAGGTCCCTCCCTACCTGAAGACTCAGACATTCCCATGACTGTAAACAGGGAACCAGCATGCTGGGTGGCCTGAGGTTCCAAGGGAGGGTAGCTGGTTATATCCATTTTTCAGATGGTCAACACCAAGGCTCAGGGAGGTGAATTACTTGCCCCAAATCCAAGGCTACAGGCATACCTCGAGTGTGTCAACATGTGCTAGGCCCTCCTGATGTGCACCTGAGTGGGGACACTGGTCACAGGAGCATGTGGGATGGAAGGTGTGCAGTTTCACTGAAAACCCCAGGGTTTGTGCCCACAGAGGGTTCTTTTCACCATCTGAGGGGCTGTGTCTTCTTTAGAGGCATTGCAGCTACTGTTTTTCATTTTAATTTTCTTTGGAATTTTAACAATGCACATATAGGGTAAAGGAATAGCAAAGCTAGAAGGAAACTCAAAAGCTAGCCAGTCCCAATCTTCACCTTAGATGAGAAAGCTGAGGTTCAGAGACGGAGTGGCTTACCCCATGGCTGCAGAGCAAGCCGATGGCTTCGGATACAATCAGGCTCATGTTGCCGCCTTCTAGGCACTGGACACACCTGTGGCTGAACTTTCAGTAGAAGCCAAGCCACTGCAGGGGCTGCCTGGTGGTAAGCGCTGGGCATCATTCTTCCCCAGAGCTCAGCCTCAAGGTAAAAAAGACAGCCTGGGAAGCTCCTGGGTCTCCACCCTCAAACTCTTCTGGTCCCTTGAGTGCCTGCCATAGAAGGAGGGTTGTCCAGTGCCCCTAATCATTGAGTGGTGGGCAGAAGGACCACACCCTTTCTCCTTCCCCACAGTATCTCCTAAACAGACAGAAACTCAATCGACATTAGTCACAATCTGTGTCTGAGTTGGCCCCCTTGTCTCAATTCAGTGCCATCTCAATTAAAGCACTGCTAAGCAGAGCTAGATCCGATTCTGCAAACCTTCAGCCAAATGCCCCATTATCATCCCTATGAGTCATCTTGGCCCATGGTCATCCTCTACAGAGCATCACGAAGCAGTTAATCCAATTCGAGTAAGACTAAAAGTCATATATTCAATGCCTCGAAAAACATGTAAAACAATAAAAGTTATGTTAATTATAGTTACTTAGATAGTCAGTGGAGAAACCACATCTGTCCCTAAATGGTCAATGAGGACAATACTTCTGTAGCATTAATAATTAGCTTATCCTTGACATAGAGACTAATGCAAGCTCTAGTCTCAGGATTGCTAAGACCACAGTTGCCTCTACTATGGCAAATGACAAAAAGGACACAGACTACAGAGCCCTGAAGGGTGAAACTATCACCAGATGAGAGGAGAAGCAACGGCTCCCCTGCGGTGATCCCTACACTCCTAAAAGGTGTAAAGTGAATGTCAGCAAATGGAATGATGTTTTAAATTTGCCTGGATACAGCAGGAAGTTTGTCCATCATTTAGTAAATAAAACGAAATCCTTAGATTTCGCCTGTCAAAATTTTTATGTCCTGCTTGTCTTTTTCAGCTGTCAGGGAGTTCGGGGGGCACGGACTTCTCCCTGTCCTGGATGTGGCCCCTGTTCTCTGACACACAGCTCAACAGAGCCTTTGCTTCCCCTAGGAATGCTCTAATTCCACGGCCAGTTTCTTCTGATTTCAGAAGTGAAGACTCGCTAAACCCTCCCTCCCATCCTAACCACATCCAGGATAGGAGATCCTTCTCAGACCAGCTGGTTTCCCTGTCCATGGAGAAGCTGAAAAGGTCACTGCTTATTCCCACAAAGCCCACTTCAGACCCACTGGCTGAAGCTAGCAAAAAAAAAAAATCAGATAAAATAAAACCATAGTAGACTTCATAGAGATTTCAGGCGCTGTGGCATCCTCTGTGTCGTTCAGATGTTAGCTAAGATTTCCGAGGAAAAAGAGCTGCTTTCAAATATACGAAGTAACTATGGAAATAAATTAAGCCACTGACGCTGGCTTGATAAAAAGCAGATCACTGAGACAATGACAAGCTAAGGAGGAAGCCGAGGGAAACGGTCCCCAGCAATGAAGTTAACTCTTTCCCAAGCCAGTTGTGTGGAGTATCTTTTGGTTCTGAAGATGCAACTATTATCTAAACCTTATGCAAAGCAAGACCACAATGCCACATCTTTGCCTGGTTGAGGGAAGAGAGGAATGTAAAGGTGTTGTCCCCTTGTTCATTTGCCTGGAACATTCCTCTTACATACATATTTATCTAAAATTTGATTCTTAGACCAAATGATGATGAAGCATCACTAGTATAATTTCTGCTCCCACCTGCACACAACTGCAATCATGAAATGAATAGTTCAGCCAGAATTATAAAATAAGAGGCAAGGGTCTCCCACATGGAAATTGGAAATCAGGTCAACCCATCATCTTCAGGCTTTGTTGGAAAGTGTGCTATCGGACAGGCGATCACTACACACACCCAAATCAAAGGTATTTTGCCACCTATCTGGTCATACATTTTCAGTAGAAATATAATATCTGAATAATAAATAAAACATGAAAAACGTGTATCCTATTAGCAGCTAAATGAACCCAAAAATTGTTACTTTGCATTTTCAGGGTTTGCTATGAAAACTTATGGAATATTTAAAAACAACAGGGCTGGGCATGGTGGCTCACACCTGTAATCCCAACACTTTGGGAGGCTGAGGCAGGAGGATCACTTGAGGTCAGGAGTTCGAGATTAGCCTGGCCAAATGGTGAAACCTCATCTCTACTAAAATACAAAAAAAAAAATTAGCCGGGCGTGGTGGTATTTGCCTGTAGTCTTAGCTACTTGGGAGGCTAAGGCAGAAGAATTGCTTGAACCTGGGAGGCGGAGGTTGCAGTGAGCACAGATTGCCCCACTGCACTCCAGCCTGGGCAACAAAGTGAGACCCTGTCTAAATAAATAAATAAACAGACAGGTGGCCTACCTTTTGTATCTTCCTCCCACAAAAGCCACTCACATGGCACCATCATGACCATGAATACAGGAGTTCAGGTATGGTGTGGTGCGCTGTAGAACGTCTCGATTCAGCATGGGTCCCACTTCAGTTAAAACAAGCAGCCTTGGAAAAGAATGGCTCTGGCTATGGGCAGCTTTCCCCATATATCTTTATAGACGCATGAAGCTGGACCAGTTCACATCAGGGATTGGAAAAAGACTGAGTATTTCTGGGACCAGGGAGGGTCCATCTCCACAGGAATCAGGCTGATCTAAACTCTGCTCATCAATTAAAAACAGCAATCAGCAACTCACTGGGTTTTCAGCAGTTCTGCCTGCTACAACCAGGAAGAGCCCAAGTCAGCACAAGGAAGGCAGATTTTGAGCTGCATTCTTTATTTCTAGTAGCTAAAAGTACAGGCTGTATAATTGTAAGCAGGTGGGAAGAACAGGAAGGGGGAAGAACAGAGCTTGAAACAGGACAGTTGGGACATGTGGCTATAAGTCCTGCCACTGTTGTAAATGCTTTCTCCTCCTGAACTGCAAACTCCTTTGCCTACAAAATGCGAGGACTGGCCCAAACTCTTTCGATAAAAGTCTCTGCAAGCTCTGATGCTCCATATTAACTATTCTTTAATCAGAAACATATTAATCAATTTTAAAAAGACTTTAAACACATTTGTTTACAATACTGAAGATGTGAGTCACACATCTTGCTCATGGAGGATGTGATTGGCACAATTTACATGAAAAGACTGCAATGGCTCACAAGTTAACTCTTGGAAGACTCTTAAAGGCAAATGGAATGCATTTGTCCCTTCTCTGCTTTCATCCGAACTGTGGTGGGAAGCAGGATCTTGGAGTGCCCAGAAGAGCTGCCCAGTCTCCAAATTCATATCTACCAGTGTTGGAAATTATGAGACAAATCACAAATCAGGACCACAATATGAAAATTTGTTTGCTCGCTGGACACGGTGGCTCACTCCTGTAATCCCAGAACTTTGGGAGGCCAAGGTGGGCAAATCACCTGAGGTCAGGAGTTCAACACCAGCCAGACCAACATGGTGAAACCTCGTCTCTACCAAAAAATACAAAAAATAGCTAGGCATAGAGGTGCATGCCTGTAATCCCAGCTACTCAGGAGGCTGAGACATGAGAATTGCTTGAACCCGGGAGGTGGAGGTTGCAGTGAGCCAAGATTCACACTCTAGCCTGGGTGACAGAGCAAGACTCTGTCTCAAAAAAAAACAAGAAAAAAAAATTGTTTGCCCTTCCATATTACCAGCCAGCATTGGAAAATAATTTTTAAATTTGCGAGGTAGCTGGGCAAAACAGTTGGGGATTACAATTTTGCTCTAGATAATTTCCAAAGTAGATTACTCACCATGAGAATAGACTAAATTTCACAAGTCACAAAATGGAAGATAATTTTTTGAAGTCCCAAACATGAGCCTGGTGTGGCTACAACCTCAAAGCCTTTGGAGTATTTAAGAGGGGAAAGGGCTCACTGGTTTTAAACAAGCTTCTTCCCCATGGCATCAGCAAAGCATTAACAGTAAGAATGGGATTTTTTAAAAAAGCTTTTCATTTGCAATTTGCATTTGGAAGATTGGAGTACTCACATCATTTCAGCTGAATTTCTAAGTATTACACTGTACGGCTAGTAACGTTCCACCCAAGTGATTGGCAAGGCATTATTACGATAATGTCCTCAATTTTCACATATAATATTTGAGCTATTTGCTTTCTCAGAATACAAAATCCTGAGCTGTTTTCTGTAATTATACCAGATGCATTTTAAGAAGCATTCTCAGTATTGAAAAAAGAAAGAAAACAATCCTGCAACTAAAGAGGTTTGTTTGGTTTTTCTCTTGAGAACAGAGGAGCCACTGAACGTCACCTTCTTAACGGGTCCATTTGCTTAGCATATTTTATGTAGCAACCTTAGAATATTGCTCTGCACAGACTAGAGGGCTGGGCATGGCTTGAGATGGTTAAAATCCATTCAATGGCATCCTTCCATCCAGAAAATCAAACTGCAGATCTGAGAATGTGCTCCTGTCCCACTCAAGCTCCATGTGTCCAAGGGCAGCTTGTGCTGGGGGAAGGCCAGATCTGCCGTCCCCTCCCTGAGCCCCAGCTGCCACCCAAGGCTTCCTTGCCTCTCACCGTCCCTAGCCCTAGAGTTGCAAAGGACTCTGCTCTCAAAGCTTGGTTGATTTCATTCTCTGCTGCCACCTTGAAGTGCTTCATAAATATTTGAATGTGGGGCCCACATTTTCATTTTTCACTGAACCCCACAAATTATGTAGCCAGTCTTCCTCCCCACTCCCCATGCCAAAGGCAGGGAAAATGAAAAGATCTCCCTGCTCCCTGGCCACCTACCCTGCTTGAAATTGTGCCTGACTCACTCATTCTCTTTGGCTCTAGAATATCTGATGGCTTCCTGCTGCCCCACAACAGAACCCCAATCCTTTCTCAGCCCAACATCTGGGGCCTCCAATAGCCTAGCCCAGCCCTGATCCTCCCCTCCTCCTTAGTTCACCCCTCTCCCTGCCACCACCTCTTTTCCATCTCTAGCCCAGTCTTGTTCCTGCTTCTGGGCCTGGTCTGCAGGTAGGACTGTGGGCATACCCCTCCCTACCATTTCTGGTGTTTAACAATATGTACGCCTCACATGTATAATTTCGACCTAGGTAGTTACACTGCGCACTTGGCAGCCCACCACCAACTCACTTCCAGCTCCCATTCCTTGCACCGACACCTTGGGGGCCTGGCTCCTCCTCTCGGCTACAAGGCTCTTCTCCTGGGCTTTGAGCACCCATGGACCAGGCAGAACTGGGCCACCTCAGCTATAGAAGAACAAACACTTCACCAACAGTGGAGAAGTAAACAGTTATTCCAAACAATATAGGTTCAGAAAAATCTAGAACAGCCTGATTCATCTGAAGCTAGTTTGGGCAGCTTGGATTATCCAGACAATAGCCTCAGTTCTCTTTCTTTCTTGTATGTGGACAAGACTATGTAACCAGCAGAAGGGAAGAACACAGCCCATGACCTCGGCATCAGCTCAGAGCTTCTGCCCTTTTCCCACACTCCCTACCTGGCATCACGAGAGTCTTTAGCATGCCAGCTCCAAAAGAAGACACCTTGGCTCTCTGTAAGGAAGTGCATGTCCTGAGGTAGAAGACAAGAGGAGGCCACACAGCGCATAAAATAAAATGACGGCCACGGCGGCTGCAGAGGTCCTGCTGCCCGGGGCGACTCTGACAAATGCACTATGAAACCTGGCATTTAGACAGGCCAAAGTCCTCCCACTTGCTGGGAGAGGTCCTCTTTATTCTGTCTTCCTTAATATTTTGTTACTTGTTGAGCAACAGAAGAGAGAACAGAAAGGTGGAACAAATAGGAACTTGTGGTTATCTGGGAACAGAGATATAGGGGAAAGAGACTGGGTTTTCCCCAGCTCACCCACCACGGATTGTCCAGACTCTCACCAATTAATAAGAAGCAGAATTCCAGGGAGAATGTAAGCTAGGACTGACAGAAATATCAAACTCTTTGACTAAAGTAATCTGCCCTACCTGTTGGTCAGCAGTCCTATGAAAGGGTTGGTGAGGAGCTGGACAGTGGCTTTCGAGGCAAACAACAGACCAACTTGCACGTTTTCATTCAGGAGGTCTTTGTCTTCGCTGGGACAGTCGGAAGGGACAGCAGACCTGTTGGTCACCATGTGCTGTGTGGTGGTCTGATGCAGCTGCCCCTCCTGCAGGTCTCTGGTAGTGTTCCCGGTGACCATGGTAGAGTTGTCATAATAGGAGAAGATGCTCTGGAAGCTGTCCGAATTGGAGGCTGTGTGCACTGGCCTGGCCGTCTGGATTTCTGTAGCATTCTTCTCGTGCTTAATGCTGTACAGATAACTTGGGATGATAGGGACTGGGGATAAGAGCAGAATGGCAAGGTGGTGATCACACTGAAACCCTCTCTAAGAAAAAAGTCAGCAAAAAACTGTGGTTGTGTCAGCTGGGTGCGGTGGCTTACACCTATAATCCCAGCACTTTGGGAGGCTGAGGCAGGCAGATGGCCTGAGGTCAGGAGTTCGAGACCAGCCTGGCCAACATGGAGAGACACAGTTTCTACTAAAAATACAAAAATTAGCTGGGTGTGGTGGCACACGCCTGTAATCCCAGCTACTCAGGAGGCTGAGACAGGATGATCACTTGAACCTGGGAGGTGGAGGTTGCAGTGAGCCGAGATTGTGCCACTGCACTCCAGCCTGGGCAACAGAATTAGACTCTGTCTCAAAAAACAACAACAATAACAAAACCATGGTTGTGTCAAATGCCAGAAGAGATCCAAAGAGGTGGCAGGTCTACCCCAGGAACATGAGCCCTGTGCCACATGTCTACAACAACACTGGAGCAAGTTCACTTTACTTAGCTCACTAGAAAGAACCAAGCCCCCAACAGCCCCGAGAACTGTCTACTTTCAAAGGCAGGGGCTGTGCTGAACTGACTGGTCCCAGAGATTCTGTCAGTTATGGGTTTCTTCCACATTGTTCCTTCAAGGAATATTTCAGAAAAGTAAAATTCAGTCTGACGTCAAGACAGTGCTGACCTGGGGTCAACCGGTGCTTCTAAGAAAGAGAGGCTCAAAAGATTTTCAAATGGAATGAATCAAGGAAACAGAAAACTGCATTTCATGATTTGTCTTAGAAAAAAATTAACCTGCAGGAAGTAATAACTGGAAATTCTGCAGCAGGCCCACTTCATCCTTCCATTATGTTAAGTGGGACTCTGCAATTTTTCCTACAATTTGTAAGATTTAAGAATTCCTAAGATTTTCATAAGGAAAAAGCAAAACTGTGAAACAGGCCAGGCATGGTGGCTCACCCCTGTGATCCCAGCACTTTGGAAGGTCAAGGTGGCTGGATCACCTGAGATCAGGAGTTCAAGACCAGCCTGGCCAATGTGGCAAAACTCCGTCTCTATGTAAAATACAAAAATTAGCTAGCATTGATGGCACAAGTCTGTAACCCAGCCACTTGGGAGGCTAAGGCAGGAGAATCACTTGAACCCAGCAGGCGGAGATTGCAGTGAGCTGAGATTGCACCACTGCACTCCAGTCTGAGCAATAGAATGAGACTCCATTTCAAAAAACAAACAAAAAAGCAACAATAAAAAAATACAAGTTAAATTGTGAAACATAATCAAAGCTGTGAGCACATGTGTCCAATGGAGCATTCCAGCCAAGGCAGAGCAAAAGCTCTTGGTACTGAAAAGGGATGAGCTCCACAGCTCTGGCAACTCCTTGAGATGAAACCTATCAGATGCTCTGAAAACTGCTGTGGGAAACCCTGCAAACAAAGAGAAAGGACACAGCTTCCACCACTCACAGTCTAAATGAATCATGATTTTTTAAAATTCATTAAAACTTGGATTTTTTTTTTTTAAGGAAAGGCATGCCAAATATTTCTCTTTAATGGGCCTAATTAAGAGACCTAGATTTCAATTATTTAATTTTTCAAAATTCCATTATAGGAAAAAGAATAAAACCAACATTGTTCAAATTGTTCTTGCAATGGGTGCTGAAATATTTCCATCTCAAATCATTCACTCTTACAATATATCTAAATGTCTTTAGACTTGCTGTTTTAGCTACTACACGAAATATTAACCTGCCTTTTCGAGTAGCATAGTGATTATTCTAACACGTAATTTTGAACTCAAGGAATTTCTCTTCTGGAACAGAAATCTTTTTCATTGCAGTGAAAGCAGGCAAGAGGAAGCGGGAAGTTATCAGGGGGAAACATAAGTTCTGGTTCTTATCGGATGTCACAATTTATGACCGACCATCAGGAAAGCGAAGCCACGAATGCGGCTCCTCCTAGCCCCGGGGCGGCAGTCTGGAGGGGTTGTCTTTTTTTTTTTTTTTTTTGCAAAAAGCGAGTTCTTTAACTTTCCCAGGCCTTGGCGAAGCTCCGGGACGCGCTGGGGTGAGTGGAGCACTGGGGAAGGGGCGCTGGGGCTGGGATGCTGGGGAGGGGTGCCCGGTCCGCACGTACCCACGACGGTGAGCAGCATGTTGTCCAGCAGCAGTGCCAGGAACACGATGAACAGGATGAGCTTCCGCGAGCGGCGGCTCTCCTGCAGCCAGCGGACCAGCGCCAGCTCGCTCAGGGCCATGGCTCCGGGGCTTGGCTGCAGGCGTGGCGCTTGGTGAGGACCCCAGGCCGCTAGGGACCCCCATTCTCCAACCCCCCAGGCCGCGGAAGGGCAGGTCAGGTAGCCGAGCGCACCTGCAACCGGGGACACCCCCCCGGAGCCCCAGCCTCTGCTCACCTGCCCCGAGCGCGTCCCCACGAGCGCCTGAGCTCCCTGGAAGGAGCGCCCGCGAGCTCCGTCGGGGACCCACCTGGGAACCCCAGGACGCTGCCCTGATCCCCGCCACCCCCAGCTGTGCCACCTCCCCGACTGCGGGCTCGGCCCCGTGCATGTGGAGCCCCGTGCATCTGGAGCCCTGCGCCCCAGTTGCCACGGGGTCCCCGCAGCTCCGCGCACGGCGCTCTGGGCACCTCCTTGCTTCCCTCGGCCCCCGCTCCTTTCTGTCACTGCACCCTGTGAGCAGGGAGCCAGGGCCGCGTTACCTCGGTGTCGCCTTCGATGCCTGTCTGGGTCCTCCGCACCGACGCCACTGCTCGCACTGCAGTGGGCTTCGTCAGTCCAGGCTGCTCCGGGTCACAGTCTCCGCCCCAGCGCCCCGCCGCGCAGCTCAGTTTACCCCAGCCGACTCTGACGTCATACCCGGAGGGAGCAGGGGCGGGGGGTTGGGGCGCCCCGGCCTCCTCCCACCTGCACCGTCGCTGCACAGGAGGGGCCGCTGCCTCCCTGTCCCTACCTCGCCTTGGCCACGGCCGCTCCTCTTCCCTGGCCCCTGACCGTGGCAGAGCGCCTTGGGAACCCGGGCCTGGCAGGGGCGCAGAGGGAAAGGGGTCAGGGACCCAGGATGAAGGGTGAAGGGCCAGGGACCAAGGCAAGGAGGCAGGGACCAGGGTTTTCTTCTGGCTCCAAGTAGTGGCCTGAGCTGCTCTGAATAAATCAGGTGGCTCTTTGAGCCTCAGTGTCCCTGAAATGGGCCGTGAGGATGGAAGTGATGGCCGTGGGGTGAGTGCGCTGGGGTGACAGGTGCTGGGAGCCAGGGACAGGTTTCTCTTTCCTGAGGAAGCCTCCCTTTGCATCCACTATCCCCTCCCCATCCAGCCTCTGCAGCCTGATGTGGGGTTCCGCTCTGAGGAGCCTCTGATCCTCGAGCCTCTGATCCTCGAGCACCCTCAAGCTGGTGACATGGAAACAGGGGGAAAGGGGACATCTTTCAGTGTCACCCTTCAGTGGGAATTGGGGAGGTGAGGGTCCCAGGTCTGAGGCCACCTGAGCAGGGGGCCCTGGAGGCTAGGTGAGTGTGCCTGGCCTCAAGGAAAGGGCTAGGGAGCAGGCAGCTGCCTAGGCCCTGTGCCCTGCGCTCTCTCCCCTCCATGCTGTGCCTGCGTGTCAGGGTGAGAGGTGGTTCCTAGAGCCAGGGATCTGTTTGTGGCTGGTGCAGAGCTGTCATCCTCACTGCCAAGGGCTAAGAGCCTGCCTTTGATTTCCAAGTCCATTTTATAAGAAAAGGAGAAACAAACAGATGCCCTCTGACATCGCTGGAGCTCTGGGGGCCCTCCAAGAGGACCATGGGAACAGGAGCTGTTTTCTTAGAAAGCCACTTAGAATAAACGTTACCCTGTCACAGTCTCTTAGCAGAAGAGTGGTCTTGTTTTATTAATGTTAGCTTGTTGTCAGCAGGACACCACGGAGAACAGTAGTGTGATGTGTGGCTGTCCCCGCTCTCTCCACCCCCCTACTTCCTAGAAGAGACTCCCTGTACTTCCCATTGCCACCCCATGTGTGAGAAGAGATGGTTGAATAGGTAAGTAGGTCAGGAACATGGGTCTCCAGGATGTCGTGGGCTGTGTGCAACTTAAATATTAAACAGGGAGAAGAGAAGGAAAACCACTTAGGAGGAGAAAGCAGATGGCAGGAGAGTCGTTTAAGATGGCAGGAGGGTATCACACTCATGGAGTGCCCCCAGAGTGCTTGCTCTGGAGTTTCAAAACCCAGGGATGCGGACTCTACCCCAGGGACCATGGGGACAGAGAGGCATCATAGTAAAGGGTGCCTGCCAGGATGCCCCAGTCCCAGTCTGCCACTTCCTTGACTGGTGGCCTTGGGCTGGTTATATATCCTCTTTGTGGCTTAGTTCTGCCATCTCCAGAATGGGAACACTAACTGGACCTACTGCAGGGTGGCTGTGAGAATTCCATGGGACTACATAAGCAGCTCTTGGCTCAGTGCCTGGCACAAAGTGAGAGCTCCGTAAGCACCGGCCCCCCATTCACGCAGTGAATATGTGTTGAGTTCTTACTATGTGTCAGGCACTATGGTTAACGCTGGAGAGACAGTAAAAGCCCAGACAAAATCCCTGCCCATGGGCTGCTGACATTCTGACCTGATAGCAGCATCACAGTGGTGAACATTGGAAGGCACACCACATGCCAGCCCAGCCAGCGGGAGGTAGGTGGCTCCAGGGACAATGCCAGCCCTGCGTTCCCGCCTCCCAATCGCTGTCACCATGCCTAGCGCACCATGGCCTACAACAGGGTCTTCAGACTTTTTGTTGAAATCCCCTTAAAAAATGTTTAGCAGTATGTTTGCCTTGCATATTTTCAAGTTGGCATCTAAAATGAGTTTTTTAATCATATAGTCAAGTAGGGTATATAGTATTTACTGACCTTTATATATAAAATTATCTCTCTCTTTTAAATATACCCAAAGGAATTTAAAGAACACAAAACCACCATGTTATAATACAAAGATAAACAGGTATTCCTTTAACAGTCATTTACATTGTGTCCTTTACAACTTTAAAGTATGTTTTCATTCCATTTCCAGCAGAATTTTTTCCTACCATAATGCTTTTATCGTTTAAATTCTGTATTCATCACCTTATCTATTATGTGAACTACAACAAATATGTGACTATGCATTCACTTTTCAAAATTTTCTACACATGGTCATAAAGATGGCCACTATAGACACTGGGGACCATGGAAGGGGAGAAAGAGGGAGTGGGGAAAAGGGTTGAAAGAGTAACTCCTGGGTACCTTGCTCACTACCAGCATGACAGGATCAATCATGCTCCAAATGTCAGCATTACTCAATATACCCATGTAACAAACCCACACATGTACCCCTGAATCCAAAAGAAAAGTTGAAACTATAAAAAAAAAGTTCAGGCACAGCGGCTCGTGCCTGTAATCCCAGTACTTTGGGAGGCTGAGGTGAGAGGATCTCTTGAGGCCAGGAGTTCAAGACCAGCCTGGGCCAGATAGTGAGACCCTCTACAAAGAAAATTAAAAATTAGTCAGGCATGGTGGTACACACCTGTGGTCCCAGTTACTTGGACGGCTGGGGTGGGAGGATCACTTGAGCCCAGGAAGTCGAGGCTGCCGTGAGCCATGATCACACCACTGCACTATAGCCTGGGCAACAGAGTTTACTTATTTTCTGCCTCAAAAATAAGTAAATAAATATTTTCTTATGGCCATAAGGCTTTAACATTCTCTTTAGGATTATGTGATTATAACAGTGATTAATGGTATTTAGAAGCGGTGCACTGCATTGCACACACCTCCACTGGCAGATTGTAGGAGGTCTTGGGTTTTGGGAGGAGGAGGAGAACAAGTTCTATAGCACAATTCCAGGTGGGTACATGACAAGCACATGGGTACCACTACATTTTTGGAGGCTTCATTCCCATTCAAGGGTATGAATCAAGTACATCAGAAGTGGATCCCCTTCTGTGGCAGGGACCCAGGAGCAGGGACCTGGGATGAAGTGGAAAAGTGGAAATAAGTGAAAAGAAACCAAGAAACGGGCAGAGGAACAACTTACCTCTCTGTACATAAGGTACCCCACCATTGCCTCCCAGGCCAAAAGGATGTGTTGTCTATAAGAGACACTCTTTAAATATAAAGACATAGATCAGTTGAAAGTAAATGGATGGAAAAAATGCAATGCATGTAAACTGTAAGCATACGAAGCCTGAAGTGAGTGCATTAATTTCAGATAAAATAGATTTCAAAAACAAAATTTGAAACAGATCTAAAAAGGAGCTTCATTATGATAAAAGGAGTCAATCAACAGGAAGACATAAAGTCATGATGCGTATGCACCCAATCATAAGGCCCAAAATCTATGAAGAAAAAATGGACAGAATTAAAGGGAGAAATAGACATTTCCATAATCAAAGTGGGGAAACTGACCACCTTTTCTCAACGACTGATAGAACACCTGAACAAAAAAAATAATCAGACAGAGAAGATCAAAACAATAGCAACAGCCACCTTGGCTTAATTGGTATTTATTTAAACTGAACAGTAGCAGATTTCACACTCTTTTCAAGACTACATGGAAAGTCTCCACCAAGATCTGTCTCTTTCAGGTGGAGGCTTGTTTTACCCTTGATGTCAGCTCAATCAGTTTTTCAGCACACAGGTAAATAATGAGACTATGAACAGAAAAAGAATGCATTTCATTCTCATGCCTTTCTGAGGTCTTCTGTGTAAGCAACTGCAAAAGAACATTTTCTATATAAAATTTAACCAAATTGACTGTTCTCACTTTAAGAGGGAATGGCAAGGCAAATGTCAATTTACTTGAAGGATGCCTCACTGACTACCAGTGACATTAGGCCATAGATGCTCTAACTTAATAATGCAATCACTGAATTAACTGGCTTCATGTGGCATTATCTGTAAATGTGGGTCTCCAGGTTTGGCTATTTTAATAGAATTACTAACCTGTCTGAGGACAATTTGCTGTCATTGAAGGCTGTGGAGGAGCCAGCCAGCCATGAAGGGCAGGGTTTCATTTGCTTCATGCCTCAATCCTCCAGTCTCACTTGGACTATTACAATCCCCCTCTCACTCTACTCCATGTCTGCTCTCAGCATCCCCAGGCCTCATACAGTCTACCTTCCTCCCCAGCCAAACAGAGCTGCAAAAAACCAACATGGTCACACCACTTCCTTGTCTAAAACTCTTCAGTGGTCTCTCACTTGGGATAATGTCCAAAGTTTTTCCTGTGGCCCCATGGGACATGCGTGGTCCAGCCCTGCCCACCCTTTCCATCTTAATTTGCCACATTTGTCCTTGCTGTCGATCTCAAACCAGATTCCCTTATGATTCTCTGGGCTCTTGCATGACTTCAGGTATCTTTGTATATCTCCAGGGCCCCAGAATTCCAGCCTGAGAAGCCCTGGCCTGGGAGCTCCTCACCTCCCCTTATACCACGTGGCATGGCATGGCCTTCCCTCTTGCCCTCCCTTTCCCCACCCAGGTACACTGGGCTCCTTTCAGTAAGTGCTCTCTGTCTCAGGGTCTTTCCATTCTCTGTTCCTTCTGCCTGGGGAGCTCTTCTCCCTCTTCATCTGATTGTCTTGTTTTCATTCCTAACCTCTCATCTGCTCATACACCCCGTGTTCCCGCCTACCCCAGGACTTGCATTCAGTCTATTCCTACTGCCCAAAATGTTCTTCCCTCTTCTACCTTCATCTCTTAATACTCCCTTAACCTTTATGTCCTAGGTAAAAACACAGGTAGGTTGAAAGGAAATGGATGGGAAGGTACTTGTCCCCAGGAAAGCCTTCCCTGATGCCTGAGCCTACGTGCCCTGTGCTATACTGACAGATCCCAAAACCTCCCAGTCCTGGCATTTCTCACTATAATCATAATTTTAC